TTAGAGGTCCCTTCCAACCCAAACTATTCTATGGTTCTAGTTCCAACCCCGAAGTTCTCACCTACTAAGAGTATAATTTAAATTCAGGATCCTTCACAGGCATCACTTTATGCTATACAGAAGACATCACACCTTTAAACAAGAGGTCTGCAAGTAAGCCTTGCTCCATTCCATTCCCAGGCAAGGAGTCTTTTGACACTAAGTAGCAGCAATGTGAGCTTCTAGCATATAAAACATCAAAACCACCATTTAAGGACGTGGGCAATTTGCACATCCATCATTAAGACCCTGCGACTCACTTCTGACTGCCTGTTGCAGCCTCTTAATTGGGACAAGCATGTAATCCTTAAGCAACTTTAATAAGGAATGCTAAATATGTGAAATCAGATCTGCAAGACAGAGATAAAGACTTTGAATAACCATCCCACTAACTGATCAAGTATCAGTTATATCTTTCCACTCTTGGAACAAAAGGTCAGGAAGCAGCTAAGTAAAGGACTTTTTATTTTGAAGCACTGAAGTCATTATCTATAGAGAAGACAGGCTTGTTTTCCGCATCAATCAGCCTTCAGCTGAAGACAGCAAGGTGTGGCATCAGCCCAGTCTAGTTTCTTTGTCATCCTCAAGCACATTCGGTATTCCTCACAGTGAAGAGCAGAGATTGCTTTGAGGTTTGATCAGTCCAGGACTAAAAGCAGTGGATCCAGTAGCCAAGGCTACCATGCTGAAGCAGGGTACTTTACAGATTTAACCATTCTACTACCTAATGCCTTAAGAGCAAGCCACCTGCTATGGGAAGAAGTGCTGGTCATTCAGATCCAAAGGGGAGGCAAAGCAACCTTCATTCAAAAGCACAGAAGTCAGCCAGAGACTTTTCAGAAAGCAGGAAGCCAAAGGATCCATGTTGGGTTTTAAGCAGCCTCTTAGCTTGACCCATTTTGTGCCACTAAATGGTCCCTGCACCAGGGAGAGTAAGTTGTCAGCAAGCGCTAATTGAAATGAGGAACAGCCATGAAGCATGGCCCAGTGAATTCACCAAGACAGAGGTATACATTCTGGCAGTCGTCTTTTAGGAGTCATACTCTTCAGGCAGGTTTCCCTTGTTTTGGGGGAATTTGCTTTCAAATTAACAAACTGTGTGTAGAATAGTCAGTAGAAAAGATCAAGAATTAAAAAAAAATCCCATTCTTGCAGTCTCAGAAGTACAGCATCACCTCCCTAGGCCTGAGTATGGACATTTCTCCTTCTTTTTAGTTTCTACTTTCTAAGGTATGTGAAGTCAAGAAGAAAGTTGACTGATGCTTTATAGAGCTGAACTGCAGGAAGTCCAGGAAGTAGGGCTTGAGAATCCACCTTGTGACTGCAGATACAGAATTGTAGTTTGACAACAAAACTATTTAGAGGACAGCAGCTAAGACCTATAATCAAGAGTGACCAATGCCAAAAACACCCCTTTATATGTAACAGGTTATTCTCACACAACACACAAGTAAAAAAAACTTAAGACAGTCACAAATGCTGTCTCCAGCACACAGAGAATGATGACAGAAAAAAAAGCATCCTCAACAAAGATGGTGATTATTCATTGTCATATCAGTATTTTCACTAATTGTGTAATAGCAGAATGCAAGTATGAGCACTGGTCATTAAACTACTTTGTGTTACTCAAAAAAGATACAGGCTCTGGCTAAAGTCAGTCTCGCTATGCAGCAGACTAGATGGTCAAATTTAGGAGAAGAGATCCCTAACTTAGCTCACTCTGCTCACCCTCAGCAGATGCAGATGTAGATGAACTAAACACTTGGGAAATATTCCCCTTAGTGTCTTTTTGCTGCCAGATTCTTTTTTTAAGCATCATCCTTGTACCAATGACACAGTAGTGTCTGCATCAATGTGGGAAAAGTGGCATAACATCTTTCTGCCATGCTAGAGGAGCAAATATGTCATCAGGACAAGAGAAGAAAGCATGCACTGCATATCAAAGACAAGTCCTGGGGTTGGTGCCAGAGCTGCCTGAACGTTTTTAGGTCTTGTCCACCACTATTCATGTACACAGTTGGGGAACACCTCTCCAGCATACTCAAGCCGTCAACACAAACATATGTAGCAGGGGCTGAAGCCACATGCAATCTGCATCAACTAAAGCTTTTGTCTTCCCACTGTTGCTGCTCGGGGAACACTGAGTCACAAAAAAACTTTTACTTAGTGTGAGAAAAAATGTCCATGTTCTGTCACTACCTTTCGGTAATAGGAAAGCATTGGCTTTCATCCCTTAAACCAAAGCATAGAGAACATGGAGCCTCTAAGAGGTGTAGTTTTAAACACACAGAAGAGAAGCTAACCAGCACATTTAAGAGTTGCAACCAAGAACATAAGTTAAAGATGTGTTCTTGAAAGCTGGATATTTGAGGACTCTGCAAAAAAAGACAGGAAATAAGAGTACCAAAATCAACATTTCTGAACAAAACTAATGAAATGTCGACTAAGTGGTAAATCAATGTTTTTTAATGAGACAAATTGAACTTTGCCAACCATCCTTTCATTCTTGTTTTAAAGTGCAGGCATCCATCTGGTAGTTCTTTCAAAGTTAAACAACTGGTCTAAATACATGCGACCTGTGCACCAGCTGTTGCTAAAATAAAGTACTGACAGAATACATCACACTGCAGTTCATACTTGCACTTTCAGACAGCACATATTGATTCAAGTGTGCATCCTAAAGAAATTGCTGAAGTGCTGCAATGCAAAAGCAGCTTTAGCTACAAAGCTGAATAAACATGGTCCACCCTTTTCACAAGGTACAAATTTAATTACCTGCATCCCTGAAAAAGGAAGTTTTGCATCAACTAGGGCTAATGAAGTCATGACTCCAATGGAGTTGAATAAAAACCTCAAATAAACCTTGTACAATCTGCTTTTCCACATCTGAATCTTCTTTCCAAAGACTCAAGCTCAGAAGATTTAAATGACCTGTTAGCATTTATAGCACTCATACAAACCTGGATGAAACGCAAATACAGGCACTTAGTTTTGGGGTGTGGAATCTAGATAACAATGAACCTAATTTCCTTCTGACTAGCAACACCAGCATTGGTTTCTTCTGCCTTTATTCCATGATTTAAGAGAATTACAAAACACCATCTGACAGCTCACTGCTTGGAAAATGAAAAGATGCAGAAAATCCCCAAATCAACATACCTGTTATTTTGTCCCTGACAAGCTTGCAGGATTCTATTTCACCAATGCTGCCAAACAGACTCTTCAGCTCCTCTTGTGTCATGTTCTGTGGAAGGTAGTTGACTATTAAATTGGTCTTGCTGTCTTCTGTGTTCCCAGAATCAACTGGTGATGAGCAATTGTTTATGGTGGTTGAACCATGGGCTGTGTTATTGCAAGTTGGTCCATTAGACAGTTGTGTTTCCATGGCAGCAATTACCTGCTGAAAAACACAGAAAACAAGAACCATCAAAATTCCTATTTCACCATCTATTAGGAGAGCCCAGGCAAGAATGTAAAGGACCTGTCACTATGCAGACGTGGTATTGCCAGGGCCATATACTGCCTCTATATGCAAAAAAAACCCCCACCAATACAGAAGGATTTTAACTGCTAGTCAAGGCAATACTTTAAAAACTTACAGGCAAATAAAGTTGTCGCTAAAATCTTCTAGGACCTCTCTCAATGAAGTCAACACTCAAAGCTGAGTTTCCATCCTCCCCCATTCCCTTCGTTTAGGGGCATCACAACCTTCTAGTATAGAAGTTACCAAGCAGAATTGGCCTGTTGCAAGGGTAATCAGTTCTATTAACTTACAACTGATAACTGAAATGATATGAAATGTAGTTTTTAAAGTGATAGTATTTGGTTATTTTCAAAAGGAGGTGGGTGTTAACTGTATCCTGAGCCTATTTCTCATAAGCAATAGCAGAAAGCAAGACTAGTAATTTAAAGAGATACTTAAAGAGATATATGAATATGCTGGGATGGAAAACAAACTCGTCCTTGATAACCTCTAGGTCAGCCTTCTGTCACCACAGGTTGAAAGTAGGTTTCTAAATGCTTTTATTTGATTAAACTGACAATTCCTGGTTCTCACTTCTTCCCTCCCCTGCACCCTGAAAACAGTTAAATTTGATACTTTAACTTCATTTACTTTTAGACATCAAAATAAGGGAGTGATCACCACCCCAGGAACTACTGTGTTTCACCTCAAAGTAACTGACTGTAGGATCGGCAGATACAGCAGCAATCATTTGGAGAAGCATCAGTACTTGCCCACAAGTTACCACATGTACAAAAGGCTCTCTGCCATCTCAGTCAGTCACTGAATGGTAACAGTTGGTAAATACAGTGGATTTTTAATGGCAGCCTAATATCCAAGAGTTGGGTAGCCTACCCTGTTTGAGACCAACTATATAGGACAACATCCAACAGAAAATTCTATAAATTACTTCCCCAGTAATAAACATTTCAACACAGAAGCAAGACTCAAAGTTTCCCTAAAAAAAAAATCCAGCAATCACTGAAATCCAACCTCATACTTAAATTCCTCGGAGTTCTCACACAAAAAGCCTACTGTAAAATTGCAGTGTAATGTCAGGACCTCTGGAGCTTATCTGTCCTAACTGTCCTGTTCAAAGCAGCATATGCAATCAATGCATACCCAAAGAGCTGATTAGGTCAACTGTACTCAGGGAATGCAAATTTGAATTTCCTAAAAACATGAGAGGGGGTAAGTTGAGTGTCTTAAACTACAATTCAAACATCCCTGGGAACATATTTCTGTGTTCTGCATACAGAAGTATTTTCCAAGAGGTTACTTCAGCACAACGCAAAAAAGGGAAGATGCATCTGTTAAGAACATTTAATGTAAAAATGTGATTGAGTTTTCCTGAGGAGCTACAACTGGAACAACATTTTCTTCCCTTGTGACAAACTCCAAGGGGTAACCTGCTCCTGGCACTGTGATGAAACAAGTCTGCTGGAAAGATGAGAAAGTAGATAAACCCAATTAAGATAAATTACTTTTCAAAACACTAGTATATCTGGCAGAGTTAGTAGCCACCAATGCTATGCTCTGACTGAGGCTCTCTAGGATGGCTTTTTCTCCTCTTTTTCTTTTTTCTCAAATTTAAAGTGTTCATTGATCAAAATTAGCAGGATTTAGCAAGGACAACAAACAATCCTCACTTAATTGTACATTTATTTTCATGTTCAGGTGGCAAGAATGAGATCCTAAGCCAACATTCAAGTGAACAGCTGCAGTAGCCTGTGTGTGCTGAAATTACAGCATTTCTCAGCTATAGAACCATCTGCTCTGAATAAAGTGATACTAATATGTTTTACAAATAATGCATATTCCATTGATAGGTTGAATACAACTGTTCATGAAACACAAAGCACTTCTTCAGCAGTTACTAAATATTTTCCACCCAGAAAAATAGTTTAAGAGAAATTTACAGTTTTCAAACAATTTCTTAGAATAAGACTTGTAAATATAGTTTTAAAATAGTAATCATAAACACACAGTATACAGGTTTTTAAAGTTACTGCAATTTAGTATTCAGACCATACCAAAACCATTGTAGTACAATACTACTCTTCAATTATCCACCAGGTAGTTTGAATTAGTACTAAAATCTAATTGACATTAGAAGAAAGGCAAGCCACTGCAGTATAATTTCTACAGGAGATCACCATATTATAGAAAAAGTTGTCATGGTACGCCAGTGCACTCTAGGCTCTCACAGAATAGGGACACAACCTACAGCCTATAATGAAACATAGAAGAGAGTTAACATTCCAAATGGGAGATTAAAGAGTTTGGTATGGCCTCAGCACTATTAACATGTAAAAAAAGTAGCCTACAGAATTTAAGAAAAATCCCACAGACCCCAGTCCAAGGCTCTGCTGCCCACGAACCACTTCTAAGCAGAGAAGCCACATCACACAGTCTGACTGCCATGTTAGTTTGGAGTTGCCGTCTGCAATATGGACACAAAAAGTACCGTATGTTAGATTAGCAAGATAATGCAACAAATCAGTTTGTACAAATTTACAGTAATTGCATTTATATTCCCAGCACGTCCATGCAGTGTGGCTTAATTGGATTTGAGGCAATTCCAATCTAATCTTTCCAAATTCAGTTCTAAAGTTATTTTTCTTACATGAAATAAGATGCTTAAGATTTAAAAGATAATGCAGTCTAGTTACCCCTGCATCTACCTTGGAAACTACCTCCAGAACCACACCATGCCTAAAAGGAACTATACCACAAAACACACTTTTAAATCTTCAAGACTGAAGGAAGAGGAAAGAAAGAAAATACAGTGAGTTGATTTTCCATTCGCACATAAGATGACCATGCACCACTGAACAAACAGCTCCCCTTACACACCTTTCCCAGCCCACAAAAAAATACACAAGACAAACTACTTTGTTAGAATCCAATCTGTTCTTAAAATCCTAGGTTTTAAAAATTAAGTAAATTAAAATCTTGCATAGATGGTATTCAGAAAGTTTCCTTGCAACTGGTATTTAAGAATACCACTGGACATACAAGTGGCAGTAGAGTCAAGGATTTCTCAAGTGGAATAACTGGAACAAAATATGCATGAGCTAGTACTTCATATTTTTGTCCCCAAGCACATTGTTGTTTGTTTTTAAATAAAACATCATTGCAAACCCAGCTGGATTTGAATTGAACAGTGCTAGGAGGATATCAGAAAAGCTAATGGGCCATTTGCAGATGGTTACAAGTAGTCCAGATGTTAAATACAACCACAATACTGGCACAAATAGGAAGACTCCTGACTGTTGCCACAGCTTGAGACTGGTGTAAATACAAGAGATCCTTCTTGCCCCTGGTTAGCAGATGAGGTAAGTCTAAACTTGATAAAAAACCCAAGGACTCAGCTTTTGGAAGGCTGCTGCATCCAGGGTTTATAAACACATACTTCAATACAACTTCTCCTGTTTTAAAACCGTGTAAGTTAGTCTTCATTTCAGTTTGCTACCAAAGTCCATATGGTTAGCTGACTTCATGTCTGGTCATTATTTCTAATTTAGGTTGATAAAGACCTCTAATCATCTCTTTTTATGCAAGATACTGAGGCTTTGGTATCAGCTGCAAGCTTGCAAGCATGCCAACAACTGCACTTCTGAAGCTCTCCACTGTATACAGACAAGTATGTTTGATGAACTGCTTATTACCTGAAGAAAAACTGAGAGTCTCAACTGACTTTTTTTAGGTCCAGACAAGCTTTATTAAGGAGACTGCATTAAAGTAGCAATCTACAAAAGTCTGTCCTACAGAGACTGTAGTGATGTGCATAAGATGACATATTTGGATCTTTACGGCTCTCTGCCCTGCTTTTGGCTGCGACAGAGTTAATTTTCTTCCTCGTAGCTGGTACAGTGCTGTGGTTTGGATTTAGGATGAGAATAATGTTGATAACACACCAATGTTTTAGTTGTTGCTAAGCAGTGCTTACACTAGTCAAGCACTTTTCAGCTTCCCACACTCTACCAACTGAGAAGGCTGGGGGTGCACAAGAAGCTGGGAGGGGGCACAGCCAGGACAGCTGACCCCAACTGGCCAAAGGGATATTCCATTCCATGGGACGTCATGCCCAGTACATAAACTGGGGAAAGTTGGCCGGGGGGGCCACTGCTCGGGGACTGGCTGGGCATCGGTCAGCGGGTGGTGAGCAACTGCATTGTGCATCACTTGCTTTGTATATTATTATTATTTTATGTTATTTCAATTAAACTGTCTTTATCTCAACCCACAAGTTTTCTCACTTTTACTCTTCTGATTCTCTCCCCCAACCCACCAGGGAGCAGGGGGGAGAGTGAGTGAGCAGCTGTGTGGTGCTCAGTTGCCGGCTGAGGTTAAACCACAACACATTCAAAGCAGCATGACCTGATTATTTGCTTCCTGTGAGCCATGGGCTGAAGATGGAAAACTCCAATAGGACAGCTTACGTGTGTGCACAGGACTTCAGCGTACTCGCTACATAGACTTCACTGTGCCCTTGAGCATCACAGCAGTTCTCAAAAAAGCAAAGAGCACCTCTCATTTGAAGTACTTCCAGTTTGCGTAACACATCTCTCTTCACTGAAGTGTTCCACATGGTAGTCACATCAATGTACAGCAAGTCAGTTCTCTAACTACCACACCATTATGTCTCAAAACCAAGTTTTGCTCTACCAATTCTTTTACCATTTTTATTATTTTCAAAGCTGTACAGAATGCTTTTACATCTAGTTTGAAAAACTAGAGTTCTTACCCTTTTACTTACACTTCTACCTCACCTGAAAAAAAATAAGCAATATAGCTGATTACACCAAAGAAAAAAATCTAATTTTTTAAAAATCGGTTTCCAGCCTAAACACTGTACTTTAAGATGAAAATGGCACATTAACATAGACTTCGAG